AAATTGACATTTTTTTTTTTTTTTTTTACATTTGATCCAGCAAAATCATAATATCTAATTACAAAAGGCTCAGCCTCAACTAACCAATCCCAAACATGTCACAAATAACTACAGAAAAAGCATTTTGCTTAACAACAAGAAACGCTACATGTAAAACAAGAAGATCCAGTGTTGCCCAGATTTAACAGTACCTTTAGCACTTTTAGCAGCACAACACAGAACAATTATTTACAGTTTTTAAAATAAATTCACTGCGAGTAATTGACAGTCCTTACCCCAGCTTACAATCACACGTGCACACACACACACACACACACACACACACACACACACACGCACACACACAGTGTTTCACTTGTACAGTACAAGAAAATAAAATAATACAGAAGAAAACAGTAATCGCTCCTGGTAAATAGAAGCCTACTTTCTGTGTTTCAACACACAAAATTGGTCAGTAGCCCTAAGAAATATAAGTCTTTTGCTGCCCTGCACTTTTGTAGGTCACATTTTTAAAAGTTGATGTTGAGCTCCTGAAAAGAGGATTTGTGCCCTGGGGATAAAAGATGGACAAAAACACAATTATTTTACACATTCAAATTAATGGAAAATTCGGTGTAATGCTCTCTTGATAATATTATCATACCGACTGCCATTTTGCTTTTGTCTTCTCTGCTTCAAACTTGGCAACCTCTTTCCGGTCATGGACAGAAACAAGAAACTTCCAGATCACAAGGAGCGTAATGCCAATAATGAGGACAGACATGCACACGCCCAGAGCGATCAACGGAGCGTTTGGCGGCTCAGGGCAGTCTGTAGGATAATTATACAAACAATTAAAAAAATAAAATGTAACTTTATTCTAAATTAAGCTACATATGTTCATGTATAAAAAAAATTGTCTCACCATACAGCTTGAGGTTGTAAATGATGCTGCCATGATCACTGTCCACCAAGCTGAAAGACAGTAGACAGTGGTCCTCACTCTTTAAGGTGCACAATGCCGCCCGACTCTCCTCAAAATCTGACAATAAAAATATAATATTTCAAAATAGATCCTTTTTATTTTCTTAATACATGGTCTTGAATGATCAAAAAGAAAACAAAATTTTCTTTAATCAAATATTGAATCTTTAATCAAAAAATAATAGGTCCGCCTTTTAAACGATTTTTTTTCTGATGGCATCAAGACCTCTTATATTTTAAACCCTTTCTTCCCAACCACATGTCCTATAATAACCCCTTTTCACAATCCAATCAACTCTTGATGGATAAAATCAGATCCCTTACTACATTTTTGTCCTCAAAATTAAAGCTAATATTTTCCAAATCCCTTTAAATATGTACCATGTCAT